CACGTCCCAGCCCCAGGATGGTTCCCGTGGGGCCCCTCCCCCATAGGCCCCGCCGCTCCCCTCCCCCCCCCCATCAGATAACCAGAATTTTTAGGTTACCGGCACGCCCTAATCCCTGGGCGTGCTGGATAACACAGGTTTTACTGTATTTGTAAAATGTTTTTCTTAATACCCTTTATGTCTCTAGCTAGTTTGATCTCGTTTTGTGCCTTGGCCTTTCTAATTTTGCCCCTGCATACTTCTGCTATTTATTTATATTTATCCTGTGTAATTTGAACTAGTTTCCAATTTTTGTAGGACTCCTATTTTTAGATCACTGAAGATCTGTTGGTTAAGTCTCTTGCCATACTTCCCATCTTGCCTATGTAGTGGAATAGTTTGCTCTTGCATACTTAATAATGCCTCTCTGAAAAACTGCCAACTGTCTTCAGTTATTTTTCTTCTTAGACTTGCCCACAGGATCTTACCTATCCGGAGTTTGTTACAGTCTGCCTTCTTGAAATCCATTGTCTTTATTTCGCTCGTTTGCCTCCTACCATTCCTTAGAATCATGAACTCTGACCATTTCATGATCACTTTCACCCACACTGCCTTGCACTTTCGAATACTCTACCAGTTCCTCCCTATTTGCCAAAATCCGGTCTAGAACAGTTTCCCACCCAAGAACTTTCTCCACCTTCTGAAATTAAAAAACACAAAATGTTGCCACAAAGCATTCCAGGAACGTGTTGGATAATCTGTGACCTGCAATGTTATTTTCCCAGCAGGTGTCTGGAGAGTTGAAGTCTCCCTTCACCACCAACTCCTGGTCTTCGGATGATTTTGTTAGTTGTTTAAAAAAGCCTCACCCACCTCTTCTGCCTGGTTAGGTGCTCTTTATTAAACTCCCAATCATGACATCGCTCTTGGTTTTTATCCTTTTCATCCTTGCCCACAAGTCTCAACAAGTCTGTCTTCAGTTTCCATCTCAACCTCAGTCCAAGTGTTTGCACTTTTATTATATAAAGCATCACCTCCTCCCTTAACTTGCCTGTCCTTCATAAGCAAGTTGTACTCTTCTATATCAATATTTCAGTCATTCCTATGATCCCACCGAGTCTGTGATACCAGCTATGTCATAGTTGTGTTTAGTTACTAGCAATAGGAGTTTTTCCTGTTTAGTCCCCATATTTCTCACATTAGTATTCACACATCTAAGATACTGATTTGATTCACACACACACACACACACACACACTCAGTTCTCTCTTGTCTCTCCTTTATCCCTGCTATTACAGCCTCTGCTCCCCCCACAATTTCAGATCCATCTCCCAAGTCTCCATGTTTTTTACTTACCCATGCACTTTGGTCACCTGTCCCTGTAGAAGCTAATTTAAAGCTCTCCTCATGACGTTAGCCAATCTGTGTCCAAATTTGCTCTTCCCCTTCCTGGATAGGTGGATCCACCCCTGCTTAGCAGTCCTTTCTGGAACAGCATCCCGTGGTCAAGGAAGCTGAAAGCCCTCCTAGCGAAGCCATCTTTGCAGCCAGGCCTTCACCTCCAGGATGCACCTATCTCTGCTTGGGCCCCAACCTTTGACCGGCAGGATCAAACAGAAAACCACCTGTGCCCCAGACTTCTTCACTCATATTCACAGAGCCCGGTAGACTCATCTGATCTGCTGAGGGACATATCTCGCAGTATCATCAGTGCCCAGGTGGATGAGTAGTGTGGGGTAGTAGTAGAAGGCCGGATGATTCTGGATAATCCCTTTATAACACCACGGATAGTCCGCCTCATGGGGTGATTCCTCATCTCCCGTTGCCGGGACAGTGCAACGGTTCTCCATCACTACGGTGGGCAGGGTTGGGAGCAGGGGGGAAGCACCGCCTGCTGCCAGAATTAACCAGCTGCTAGGGTCGTCCCTGTGACAGAGCCATCTCCTCCTCCCCCTGGGGTGTGTCAGCTGTTCTCTGGAGCTGGAGAGCTTCCTCGGATGTCTCCACATGAATCCTGCCCAGGCATCTCCATTTTTAAATCTTCCCTTTGAGTCCCCTCTCAACAAGACTGAGAGCTCTTCCAGGTGGGGATCAGGTCCTCCTGAAGCATTTGTACAGCACCTTGCACATCACGGGGTCCTGATCCTGACTGGGCATTACTTCAGGGGAAACCATTAACTTGGCCGCTGCCGGTGGTTAGCCCACACAAGGGTGCCGACAGGGGACCTGAAAGTCTCTGCATCTGTGGTCCGAGTCTTGCCCCCTCTTCTCCCAAACCCACCCAACTGTGATGCCGGATGTTTCGGGAAGCGGACAAAACTGAGGACTGGCCAACTCGTTTCACACAGGCCACGGAGCTGAAAGGAGATCCCAGCTGGCCCTCTCTTGAGCCTGTGAGCAACAGGCATATGGCTCTGTGGCCCATTCCCAATGCCCCACAGTCGCTGGTCCCTTGCTAGTATCGGCTCAGAATCAGCGGAGTCAAAAGTCTCATGGGAGTAGGGGGGTGTGCTTGGGCCTCTACCTTCCCTTCACCTAGCCCGCGAGCTCAAGCCCCGGTGGAGGAACGGGAGCCCTCTGAGGCAAGAGCAATTGGCTGGCCAGCACGGTCTGCAGTCTTTCAAGGGGCACGTACCACTTCACTGCAAAGAAAAGTATTAACCTCTCCCCGGAGCAGAGCGATATGTCACTCCACTGCTGACACCAGCAGCCGCCTGTGCCTTTCACCAGCTGTATTAGGAAGCGTCTGAAGAGACATTTTTCCTATTAGCCTCCTCCATACCAGGAGCGCGCCCTCACAGAGCCCCTAACCTTCCAGCCAGGGCAATGAGCCATCTCGGAGGAGTAATAAGATTCCCGGCCTTTCACTCCCCTCCTGCCTCATCTGTCCCCACAGCCGAACTCCGTAGCCATAGCGACAGGGCCGCTGGCGAGAAGGGATCGTGTCACACACAAGGCAGGCGGTACGGGCTTGGCTTTCGAGTCCAGGGTTAAAAGGAGAATGGGTGAAAAGAAACCAAGGCTTTGCGAGTTCTCGTTTTCACTGGCCGGAGCCGTGGGGGACTTGAGAAGAGGAGAAGCCAACACCTAGAGGTGGTCATGGAAACTGGTGGCAGATTACAAAAGGCCTGGGACTCAACCTGTTGTTTCCATGGCACCCTGGGCCCAGCAGTCCTGACAGACTTGACCCCGGGGAATGTTCTTTTCTCCTCTTAGCAGCTGCACCCAGAGTCTGTTCCAATACATCAGAGGCTCTTCTCTTAGGAATTAAGATAAAATTGTGTACCTGATCCATCTAGCCCATACTCAACTCACTGTCAGGGAAGAGAGCTCTCCCTAAGCAGTAAGATAGACCCTGGTGAATATAAACATTTATATTCTGCATATACAGCTGATCTGTGTTGGCTTTAAACCCACAGACCGGTGCTGGTCCAAAAAACATAATCTCCGTTCCATGGAAAATTCCAACAAATCAGTATTTGCTTTCATCCTGTAAAGTTGGAATACAATTTTTTTTTCATGGAATGGACATTCACAAAAAATTGAATCAATAAAAACATTTCATTTCAGCATATTTTGAAAAACATGTGGACATTCCTGGAGCTGCCCCATTGCATTTCGTGAGATGCAGTCCTTCAGGAAGCCCTGCACAGGGGAAACAATAGGGACCCAAATTACAGAACTCGCAAGGTAATGAACTAGAAAAATGCAGCTTACATTTTTTTTAAACGTGGATTCTAAATGAAACATGTTGGGTCAATTTGATAAAATAGTCTAATCTGGATCAAGCTGACCCACAAGAAATATTTCAGTTTTCCCCAATGGGAAACTGAATTGAAATATTTCCTGCCGAAATTTTCAATTTGCAGAAATTTCATTTTTCATTGGGAAAAAAAATCGGCCAACAGAAGATTCTCAGCCAACTCTGCCATTTCTCTCCATAGAAAGAGAGAAACATAAGACCTCAAAAAGTCATCAAGTCCAGCCCCTTGTGCTCTGGCAGGACCAAGGAAACCAGTAACCTGGAAGGTTTTTATGTTCTCAAAAACCTCCAGGGATGGTGATTTCACAATCTCCCTTCAAAAGCTATTCCAGAGTTTAACTACCGCTACAGCAACCAAGTTTTTCCTAATATCTACCCTAAATCTCTCTTGCTGTAGATTAAGTCATTACTTCTTCTCCTTCCTTCGGTGACATGAAGAACCATTCATCACAGATACTTTACAACTCCTTTAATTTATCAGAGGGGTCGCCGTGTTAGTCTGAATCTGCAAAAGCGGCGAGGAGTCCTGTGGCACCTTATAGACTAACTGAAGTGTAGGAACATAAGCTTTCGCGGGCAAAGACCCACTTTGTCAGCTGTGCATCTGACAAAGTGGGTCTTTGCCCACGAAAGCTTATGCTCCTACACTTCAGTTAGTCTATAAGGTGCCACAGGACTCCTCGCCGCTTTTGCAGATTCAGACTAACACGGCGACCCCTCTGATAATTTATTTGAAGACTGGTGCCTGGTCCCTCCTTGGCCTTTTTTTTCCCCCTCGGGACTACACATGCTCAGTTTTTCTAACCTTTCCTCACTGGTCAGGTTTTCTAGCCCTTTTATCATTTTTGTTGCTCTACTCTGGACTCTCTTTAGAGGGACCAGATAGCCTGATTTTAAAAGAGAAAGTCCTGATATTTGGGGCTTTTTCTTATATAGGTGCTGTGACAGGGTCAGTCCCACTCCTGGGCCCCTGACCCCTGTTCAGCCCACTGTCCCAGTCTAGAAATCACAGTAATATGGCTTACTCGCCTTGGTTTGAGATTGGTTGTCTCCCTGTAGTCTTTTAACAAGGTCGATGCTGTTCTCTTGGCTCCTCCAGTGTCTGTGTCTGTGTCTCTCCAAACTACTCCTCCTCCTCCTCCTCTCTCCACAGCTCTCCAAAACTCCTTTTCAATTCACTCCACACTCTCACAACTCTCCAAACTCCTTCCCTCTCCTCACCCACAGGGAGGGTCCTTCAATAGGCCTCCAGGCAGCCCCAATTGGTTTCACCTGGGCCTTAATTGATTTTGCAGCCACCCTGTCTCAGCTGCCCCTAATTAGCCAGGATTGCTGACTCTCTCTGCCTCTTTCCCCTTCCATCAAGCTCTTGAACCTGCTGTATCACCCCTGCTCTGTCAC